AGTCAAATGATAATTCCTTGGTCAAATTTCGCCAAATAATTTATTACCTTGGTTGACAATTTCAATTTTACGAAACGGTGTTGGCGCGCATTTTGCAAAACTTAGAATTAAAACAATACCCAAACACCTGAAATACGACTCCTCTATTTTGTTGGTAGTGTTTGTTAGCAAGAGCCGTGAGTAATTCTTGTGGAATTCAAGGGACTGTAAATTGGAATCACTTGAAATAAATTCAAAGATGAAATCTCTTCGCGGCACACCAAAATCTTTTCGCGGCACACTAATGTGCCGCGGCACCCTGGTTGGGAACCACTGCGCCTAATCTGTTACACATACTACGTTCCGGTGTCCGCCATCTTGATTTACATACTCCGGGGGTACCGCATATGCATGTCGGGTTCTGGATTAGCCAGCCAGTTATTTGTTTTAGAAATACATGGTCGAGGAAGCCGTAACCGACTAGCGAATAAGTAAACCACCCTATCGATTGGAAATCATGAAACCGATTGCAGCTTTACCGACTACTGTTCCTTTCTTTCTGACTCCGTGTAAATATCCGGATGCATTGTCTGCACAGCTACTTCAACAAGAATCGAAACGACGTTATTGAGGTATTCACTTGCATCACAGGCAGGCGCGGCAGTTTTATGGAGCGTTTTTCACGACTTCACTCTGTACTGGCAGCCACCGGAACGTCTCATTTTTAACAAACCTAGATCTTACTATGTAATATATTGTTAACACTCAGTTTGATTCATTACTGCATTTGACCAACTCAAGTATCATAATTCTCTTTGACTATTTACCCAACAATGAATCATAACAAACCTTTCTTGCAGTTATTTTTATTAACAGCCACTCCAATAATCAAAACTTAAAATAATTAAATCAATGATCAACAATATTATATCAACAATAATATTAAATACAACGTATCCGAATTTCACATGATAACAATTCTAAATTTCGCCCGATTTTATAGTATTAACAATTGTAAGTTTAAGAATAAAATTTGGGTGCTCCTGCAGTATGGGCACCAAGATGTTGCATAACCTGAACCCTAACCTGGTACACAACCTGAGATCAGGTTGTGCGCCATCTTGGTGCGCATACTTCAGGAGGTCCAAAATTTGCATATATGATAAATAAGAACTACAAGCACAATAAGAACTATTCAACAAAGACACTTTTAATTTCATTGCTATAAAATAGGGCGAAATTTTTTGGACACCCTGTATGTCAAAATAAATCAAGTAAGAAACGTTTTATGCAAAGTTACAAACTCCTGAATATTCAAAAATTATTTTTTGTATGCTAATAAAAAATATAACAGTTGCATTATAAATAACACGTACTGGTCCAGAATATGCGTCCCTGCCTAAGACGCCAGCACGACCTCAGTGGGGCTGAGCATTTTCGAATACCTGATGATTTCAGTATCGAATCTCGAGTACTTGGAAGATATGTAATTGTATTGACTGTTTCATTTTAATGGCTCCTAAAGACACATAAATCAGTGAAAATAAGTAATCTATCACTCGGTCAGTTTGCTGAGTGTTCACACACAACAAGAAACATGTTTCATTCATAACTTACTCGAAAGAAAACAAATGTCAGAATTGCATTGCAAAAATACAACATCTATGAAAAAAAATGGGGGCTCCCGAAGTATGCGAACCAAGATGGCGGACATCGGAATGTAATATGTGTACTAGGTTAGGGTTAGGCCATAATTTTAGGTATAAATATTACGGGAGGCTCTTGGCTAGTCTTCGAACTGATAATAGGACTAAAATAAGGGAAATTGGAAAAAAATTATCGCCTAACCCTAATCCCCATGTTACGTTCCGATGTCCGCCATCTTGGTACGCATACTTCGGGAGCACCAAAAAATGAGAATTTCAGCTCAATCTACAAAAATAAAATGGCGGCGATTCGAAATTCCCGTCTGAACCGATTCGAATAAATTACTATTTAGTTCAAAATGCTCAGCCCTAGACCGCGTTAGCCCGCCTCAACCCTATGGTATCTATAATTGTGGCCTGGGCCAAAGTAGCATGTGGAACAAACGGAAATAATCTGATTTTCCATTCATCGAAGCTACATATGACACAGACAGTAGATATTATAAGCAGAACAACATGCACAATCGGTATGAAGATTACAATAGTTGAAGAATAGGTCAATGAAATTAATATCGATAAAATAATAATTTCGGCACATATTCTAACTCCAGTAAAGATTTTCGTTCTTCGGATAACTTTTCTAATTTTGCCAAAATTTGCCATCACGTGATCTGGTCTATTCATATACTTCTCCATTGGGTAAACAAATAATTGGAACAACACGAGTTGAAAAATAACATGAATCGAACACAAAGAGACGCAATTAATTATGTTTATATCAGACTGAAAAATCAACACAGATCCTGACGGTATGGATAACATATCTTCCAAAGAAAAAAGAATCAGATATGCAATAAGTATGAAAATTAACGCAAAAACACTAATTACTTTTACAACTTTACTAAAAAAATGCTTGAGATCAGCCGATTCATACAGTGCCAATTGTCGTCACCACTGTAGAATGTCTAGATACATATAAACGCCTAAATGGAGTGATAATGCCAACTCTAACGGAGTATATTCTAATATTTCCCAATCACCGATCCAACAATCATATTCGTCACCATCCTTAAGTGACGAATGTAAAGCAAATGCGATGAGCATGATGAGAAAGAAAATAAAAATTTCCGCGAGTATTATTGTCCCTCTCATAAAGTCATCGTGTACGCGGCATTTCAAACCTTCCAAACGATTCCTCTCCGGTAAACTTCCCAATTTTCTTCTTGGACTTTGTATTCATAGTAACAAGTAAAAGCAATCAAGTATGCGATGAGCAGAGAAGCCATGGCTGTTAAAACAACAGCTGTAAACCATTGCCGTTGAAAGTTATCTTCATCTACGCCACAATTGATAGTTTCGTTGGAACTGTTGTTAGAATTATTCATTTTCAATCTAATATATGTCAGCTGTCGATCGAAATAGAAAGAAAAAAATTAATTTTACCTCGCTAAATTTGAGCCATAACCAGTGATGTGATTCGAAATTCCAAGAACTGGTTTTCTTTTGTATCGATCTCACTGACAACATGTTTCTTCATTTCGGATAAAAATGTATGCCGTACGTTACTTATATTAAAATGACAGGTTTTTACGTAAATCTAATACATGATTTTCTAAACTCCTGACAGTCTCGCATTACCCATACGCTCTGGTCGTCTAACGTCTGAAATCGGAACGTGTTCGTTGATTTGATCACGTCATTGTATGAATGCCAATGGCTCTGAATTTCATAACTGATCATAACCCATTTAGAGACTGTTTTGGAAATGCTCCACGGCTTGAAACAAGACTCTAAAAGTTGTCACTGATATGCAGGCCTACCCTACTTTTTGAGGACAGGAATATTTCAGGTTAGAACTAATTTATTGTTAGGCTGCCAAAAATGAAGTGCATCTTTCGTCCCGCTAAGGGGGGGTATATCATCGCGGAAGTAAATCCGGTTAAAACCGTCCGTGACTGAAATTTCTTTTTTTTGAAAAATACCCTTTGTGACGCTTGGGCCCATTTCTATTGACTACTTGAGTTTCGCAAGCAGTGAAGATTGATTCTTAAAGTTTGAATAGTGCAGGAAGTGACTTTATCCCACCGAAACCCAACAAAGAATGAGAAAAATAAAAATAAAATATTCAATACCACTGCTGACACCCAAGCAACAACATGCACAATATGCATGACCTTTCAAAACATGATTTCATCTCTGTAAAACTAGTTACGTAACGTTTTATCTAAGAAGGCTTGGCAATTCAATAGGAAAATATTTCAAAATACTTGTGTCACCATAGGATAGTATTGTTGTTGAAACCAAATTCGTGGATAATTTACAAATTTTTCTGTTTGCAGTTTCTTTGGTGCTCCCGTAGCATGTGTACCAAGATGGCGCACAACCTGATAACTCTAACCTGGTATATATACTATGTTCAGGTTGTGCGCCATCTTGGTACACATACTACTGGAGCGCCGTTTATTTATTACACAAATGAATATACACTTGATGCGAACAAAAACTAGGAAAAAAAGCATTAAATGGCATTTCACTGTGAAGGGGGATGCGAATAAAACAAAGTTGGTTATCAAACAGCGACACCCGTGAAAAAGGTCAAACTTTGATGCAAGTTGAATAGAAAGAAGTAGAACAAATATATGTAATTAAAATGATTAATGTCCAAAAACAAAATCTGTTACAAAAAAGGGGCTTTGCCGACTACGACTACAGGATTTTGCCTTTTGCGGTCGTCTTGGGGGGAAATTTAACGATGTAAAGATATGGGAAGAATTTTTCTCGGCTCAAAGGTCGGGGAAATATCCGATATGAAATCGGTAGCAATCATTTGTGATTTTAATAAACTTGCTTTGCAGGTTGTACTGCTCAGACAAGAATTTAAATTTATGTGCATCTGCATACATAGGATAGGGTTAGAATACTTATCCCGGATTAGCGGGGTTGTAGGTAAGCCGACTTAATCATATGGCGAACCACAGCCTCTCGTTTGATTACCAAATCCATGCTGAATATGGGATCAGTTAGCCAGTTTTCAGATGCATCAACTTGATAAGCCCGTGGGGACCTCCAGAAGTATGCGCACCAAGATGGTGCACAACCTGAACATAGTATGTGTGTATCGGTTAGGGTTGTGCGACATCTTGGTGCGCATATATGTTTAAACTGTCTTATCGGCTTTCTCTCTCCCGGGATAAATACGCAAATCCTCATCCTGGAAGCCTGACATGGTCTAGTTACTAAACGAGAGCCTGTGGTACGTCATATAAATGAATAGTTTGGTCACCTTTCTTCCTCCGGGAATATTCTATTCTAATACCAAACCAACAGATGTCGCATTATAGTAGTCAGCGATTGGCTGAATTTTTAACTAACAAATTCAAATTTTCAATGAAAAGTACTTTATTACAAAATCAGTACAAAAGGGCTCAGTGACAATAAAGTAATTAATAATGAACAAAGAAATTGGAAATAGCTGAAATCAATAAACACTCATGGCAGTGAAAAGATGAGAAAATGAGTCATGTTTTAAAAGAATACCTGAAAAATTATGTTTATGTGGGCAAGGATGAGCGGGTAGAGAGGGCATAATGGATTTGAAGTATTTTTTGTTTTCACCAATCCCTTATGGGGGTTTAGTATGAGAGTATTGTGATGCTATTATTATATACCAGTGACACACACAGAAGCAGTACAAAATACTGATAATACATATGGGTGTTATACACAAAGAAGCAGTTGAAATACACATAATTAGGTTATAAACAAAGTAGAAGCAGTGACGCAGCCAGGGTGCATTTTTCATGGCCGCAACTCTCCCCCCATCCCACCCTTTTGAAAAAATTGGAAAAGACAGAATAAGTCTAATAACTTGTTCGATTTGCACAGGGCTGATTCTGTTAAAATCGGCCGTTTGCTTTCGTCAGTGTCAAGCGGGTATAAAGTCATGAATATTGGGTTCGCAAATTCTCAAATTATATTGAACCCAAATAATTGGCAAGTCGTTTTAATTGCATCGGTCATGGGTTGAATAATTGACGCAACAGAAAATCATTACAGACTGAAATAGACTCAGTCCAGACTCATTGTGAGAGACAGTGGGCAATGGTCGCTACCCATCACATCAGAGTGAATCACATTATCACAAATGTCTTTGTTTAATCTTTCAGAAATAACAAAATAATCCAACCTCCAACCGACATTTTTAGCACGAGCGTTCCCCATGTAAGTCCAGAAGGTATAAGCACCCTCTCTGTCTGGATAAAGCAAGCGAAATGAATCACAAAACCCTTGTTTTAACAACTCGGTGAAGCCGTCTCTTTCCTGCTGTGTGAATCCCGCTGTTTTCTTGTTGGTTTTTGGGTTCTTAAGGTCAATTTCTTGATGTGATACGTTGAGATCACCACACAGAATCACAGGCTTCTTTCCTGTAATAATACAAAACGTAAAATTAAACAAATTACTTTTTACTCAGGTTTTCTTTACGCAAGGTCCCCCAGTCCTATCTAAAAAGAGACTTCATTGCCACCACTGCTCGGTTACTGCTTTCTCCGTCACTCAGCCATGTTTCTGAAAAAACTAGTGGCGCATCGTGCTAAGCGTTAGGCATATATTCGTCACCGCATAATTTAGCAGGTATGAATCCCATGCGAGAATAGTTATGTTCGAGTGGATTGCTGGACTCATCGCCGCTGTAGGGTGGTTTGCGTAACAGCCGGTCGGTCACGATTTCCTCCACCACCAAGTCCATGCTTCCGAAAACAAATAACTGGCTAACTAATCCCATACCCGACATGGGACTGGTAACTGGCCGAGAGGTTCACTATATGATTGAGCCGTCTTATCGGCTTTTCCTGAATATGAAAATCCTATCATAGCTAAAGAGAAACACACAAATGCGTGAACATGGACGTCATTTTTTGGTTGACTACAGCTACAAATATTTGGTATATGTCAAGCTTTGAGAAAGCACAGAGTCCAAATTTAGTACAGTGCATGATATTGGTTTGTCAACAAAGCCACCCTGATTAATAATAACAGTAACAATCAATATTTTTGAACTTTGGGTGTCGCTGCTTGATAACCAGTTTTGAATCACCATGACTTTCCTTTCCCAGTAAGATTGTGTGTTAAATTCAATTGTTTTAATTTTGCAAGCTACTTTTTTACTGGATGGGGGTAATAATAAACTATGGCTATGACTCATCATAGAGCATTGTTGAACAAGAATTGATCCTATAGATCAGGGGTTCTCAAACTTTTGGTGTTGCGGAGCCTTCGAAGTGGTTGACTATTATTCACGGAGCCCCAAAATAAATTTTAAAATTGTTACTTTCCGATTAATATTACTGAGTAAGTTAAAAGTACTTTACTTCATTTAATTGCTAAACCTTTTTTAATAGGGTTAATACAAGTCATAAATAAATCTAAATTTTAAAGATAAATTATACCTATTAAGGCTGTAAATTTGACACTTAACAAACATATTAATAAATTAGGGGTCGAATCTTTTCCCTTTTGATGTTTTTGGAAGACTTAAAGGATCGCTAATAACGTTCGCGATTGCATTTTGTTACAACCGATTGTTTTCGTCAGAGTGACGTGCTTTTCAAACCCCAAACATCCTAATGTCTGTGTTTATTCTCCCTCCCTAAATCTAAATTTCCTTCGGCATATATATGTATTGTTCCACAATGACGACAATAATTGCTTTTTTGTTCTCGTGGGGAATTATGAGTTCAATGTGAAAAACATGTTATTTAAAAATAGGTAAATCCGCAACTCAAATTTTTTGATTGAAAAGCGGAATTATGAAATATATATTGAAACTAAAACTTAAAACGAAAGATACCACTATAAGTTTTGTTTCTGCAGATTCGTGACAGATTAAAAACGCTTTTTTAGTCGTTGTAATCACAAAATTTGGTGTTATGTTAGGTTTTCTTTGGTTATCCATCGTAGTAACTAAAATCGAAACACAGTCAATTGTGCGCGTGATGTGATGTAGCTACCTGCAATAAAATAAATTTCAATCTTCGTATTTTGCCCAGACCTTGTGATTTTTTAAACGGCGATATCTTGCAAAGAATCGGAGTGGCGGACCTGCGATGGGGCGGAGTTAGTGTTGAAAAAATGGCTCAAATTTGTCGAATTCGCTATAATCTGCCGCTCTATCTGTCATGATTACGATTTAATCAGGACGGGCACAAATATCTTATCAGACTACTGGCACCAGTAGTAGGTATGTTCTTTTGTGGACAATATATATATATGACTCTGCTTCTAATATCTTATGATAACAGCGTCGTTCAGGATAAACGGTATTCCAGAAGAACTTCGTTCACTTAACTTCGTTTCATTGTTTCTCATTTCATGTCCGCGGATTGTCGTGGTAATTTGAGAAGTAATGATTTTTATTGTTGTGAGTCGGCACAACTGCAGGTTACATTGAACCCAATTAAACCAATAAACAAGTCATTTCAAAATGCCCGCATCGGTCATGGGTTGCACAATTGTAAATTGTACTCATTGAGTTTTAACGCCGACCTGGTGATTTTTGAAACGGCGATATCTCGCATAATAATAATCTCGAGTGCGAAAGAACAAATCATATTTGACAAATCCCTAAAATACGATTTCATTTTATTTATAGTTGACAGTTTATCACGTATTTTATGGTATTTTAGAATAGTAAACTTTTATTTCAGTAATCTCGAATCAAACGTGAGTAACGATGAGTACCATTAAATTATTATGATAAGACATTTTAAATGCTCGCATCATTCATGGATTGAATATTTTACGCAGCAGAAATCTCGTTATCCGCTGAAAATTTTTTTTTAGTCTAGAAGAGTGTTCCGCGGAAATTTCCGACTTCAATATTGAACCCTTCTCCCTCTAAAAAATCCTGGCTGCGCTCCTGCTTATAAATAATTTTTGAATTCCGCCTCTATGCCATATTTCGTGGCTATATTGAACAATTACGAAATTAGCCAAGTCAGTATTTTGAAAAGTAATCGAATAGCTCGCGGAGCCCCTGGGTTTCTCTCGCGGAGCCCTGGGGCTCCGTACGGAGCACTTTGAGAACCTATGCTATAGATCATTTGGTTATTGTTATTCTTTTTCTTGTTGTTGCGAAAAAACATTCTCTATAACTCTATGAATAATTGTTTGAAAAATTTCTGTGGGCCCTATGGATTTTTTTTTTCGGGTGATTAAAATTAAAAATTGCGCACCTTGTGACAGATCAATGTTTGCTGTGGTTGCGATTTAGTGACAAGGGAAGATTATGGTACAGTACCCTAACAGTTTAGATTACCACTGTGGCAGATTGCACAGCCCATACTACTTTGTGTCAATATATTTGAAAATGGCTCTCTTGTTAAATAACAGTTAAAAAAGTAGAATAAACTCGTACCATCCAATTTCTTGAGATAATCTTGAAAATCTTTATTCCATTCTTGTCTATAATCTAGGCGTACTAATTTACGTCCAGAGTTTGGTACGTACGAACAAACAAGATAAAACTTCTCAAACTCGGCAGTTATTGTTCTTCCTTCTTTGCTGTGCTCAGGTTTGTCTGAAAACAAATTATGTTTTATCAATAACTCACTACAGAAATTGTGTTGGAAAATTAAAGCTTTTATCAAAATAAATTTGGAGTATTCACCTCAACAATTGGCGGAAGGAAGAAAAACAAGATGGCAGCGATTCAAAATTTCGCTCTGAACCGATTCGAATATTGTCCATTCGATTCAAATTAGAGCTCGACCGACATATCGGCCCGATATTGGTGTTTGCCGATATATCATATCGGCAGTAAACCGCCGAAATATATAGGCAATACTCGTGCTACGTGCTTCAACGACTCTCGCCCTGCATAACTGGTTTCCCAATATTTCTCTTGCTTTCATTTTGCGTTAAATGTGTCTCTCCCAATTCCCGGTGGCATAGGACTAGCCATTTCATGCATGGTCATAACTAAAAAGTAATTATCCCGAGTAACATTTAAAAATACATTTTCGAGTACACAATGAGAAAAAGGCAAATTTAGTATGGACAGAAAACGCTAGTTCTATAAATAGAACCGATTTGAAGCTGGTGAGTTAGTAATCACAGAAACATGGTACAAGTAGAGGTAGCTCAAAGTAATAATGTAATCAAATAGTTCCGAATTTGTGACCTTCCCAAATTTAATTTTGAAATTCTCGGGCAACAGTTTTAAAATCTCAATCCATTATAATTGACTAATATAAGGTATATCTCTGGAAACATAGTTATTGGAAAAAGCAGCAGTATTTCACATGTAACTGCACATAAATTATCACAAAAATCTGAGGATTTTATCATTATCATGATTCACTTTAAAATATATCAATTTATAATTTTCCAATACCCTTAACATATGCTCACAGTTGTATTTAAAAACATCAGACTAACAATTCTTTTACCTGGAAAAGGCTAGACTGATATTGAAGTTGCAGGAAAAGTTACAGAACAACAACTATTCAAGCATTAACTAGAGTTAGTTAAATTAAAGTCTTACTGCAATGATATTAAATATCAAAATGAAACTACAGACTCACGAGGTACATCATAAAAGCCCATTTTGTGGCTCGCAATATGATTTATATTAATATCAGCATAGACGCCAAAAAGTTATATCGGTCGAGCTCTAATTCGAATATTCGATTTGAAATGACCAGCCCTAGTTCGTACGATTTATTGTAAAAACATATCAATCCGCGATTTAAACTTCCATCCTTTTCACACCGAATATTGGGACATGAACCTGCCATAAACTGACATATCGTTACCATGAAAGTCTCGCACTACTGTTATGTGATGGGCACATGTCGCACAAGTCTGTTAGGCCAGTAAGGTTTTGTACATGTATCGCGCCTCTGATATACTGTTTACTGGAAATGTTTTATGCAGATGCTGTTACATTTTTGGGCACTCCCCGAAGTATGTGAACCAAGATGGCGGACACCGGAATGTAGTATGTGTACCAGGTTGGGGTTATGCCATGATTTTATTCCAACTTCCCTCATTTCCATTCTATTACGCGTTCGAGGACTAGCCAAGCGACTCTCCTAGTATTTGTACCTAAAATTATGGCCTAACCCTAACCTGGTACACATACTACATTCCGGTGTCCGCCATCTTGGTTCCCATACTTCGGGAGTGCCTGATCTCACAATATGCAAGGAGCTACTGTTAAAGGACCGAAGTTGGTATTTAAGTAGTATGTGTAGGCTACCAGGTTAGGGTTATGCCATATTTTATTCAGATTTTCCTTACCGGTATTTTAGTTCATTACGAGTAGGGGACTGTCTGTGTAGGCCAAGTGAATTACCCCCTGCCCATAGGTTTCAGTCCCTTCACACAACAACTTGATGTAAAATAGGCGAACAAATTAGTTACCCCCATATTGGTAGACATACTTCTGCAGCGCCCCACAAATTTTTTTGGTTCAGCATCGCTCACCCAATTTATTACGTAATGAATGAGCAATCGTCAATATCTTCATAGTTAACTCGCCAGTAATTCATTCACAAACCTGGAATCCCAAATTCAACATTGCTTGGTTTCATTCTAGAAATAATGGCAACTCCGCCATGGCCTGGTTTTTCTCCCGCATTCCAATAGGCATATTCATATCCCTCAATGTCTTTCAAATCATCAGGAAGTTTTTTCTCTTCACATTTGGTTTCCTATTTAAAAAAATGTTGATCCCAAAATAGGTGTACCTAGATGGCGCACAACCTGAGTTTAGTATGTGTACTTTACCAGGTTAGAGTTTAGGTTGTGCGTCATCTTGGTACACATACTTCCAAAGCGCCAAAAAAGACCTATTTTTGCTTCGTTTTGAACTTTTTTCACTAGATGCTTCTATGTACATTTTGCATAGAAACGTTTTGTACAAGCAACCACTAATACCTAACGACGATGTAATTTTTGAAAGGACGGAATCTTTCCGGTTCAGAATCGCCTACACAATTTATCACACTCTGCGGCCTCCAACAGCCAGGCCATCGCACAACTTCCACTCAACGATTTCACACTTTAAAACAGCGGTTTCCGAAGTTGATTGACAGGGGGCCAAAACTCAAGACATTGTGGGCCGGAAGAATGAGTGACCGTAAGGGCATGTAGGCCTGCTGTTGGAAATCCTAAAACTGTATAATCAAGAAACTGATTCAAATGAATTGTTACGAATATACACAACTGCGATAATGACATAACAATCGGTGGTATCTAGAATGCAATAAAGTAGAAACAAAGTGTTAAACTATTCCCTTCAAGTTCGATGGGCCATATTAACTCGCTACGTGGGCCCTTATTTGCCCATGGGCCGCGGTTCGGGAAACACTACTTCGAAGGCTTAAAACGTTACCTGTAAGCATATAATATCTGCATCACAATTCAGAAACCATTTATGACCTTCTTTCTTCACAAGAGCTCTTAGTCCTGCAACATTCCAAGAAACAATTTTTGTGTTAAATTTTCTTCCATCAGAAGTTAGTTCTTTCATCGGATAGGTTTTAACTTCAGGTACTTTGTCTCCGGAATCCTATATGGCATAGAACTCAAGATAAAGCCTTTAAATGATGCTAATTATAATTATCTATGCTGGAAATATAGGGTTGTGAAGTTGGAGAAATTCGACCTCCTGATAAACAAAAATTCAAGACGCCACATAATTTTGGTAACGTAACAATATTTAAGCTCAATGGTCCTCAATCGGTAGACAAGATTTTGAAGGGTCGTTGAGCAAATAAAAATATTTGTTAGATTTGATATTGCTCGCTTTTTGGTTATTTACATTTTATTTTGGATATTTGTGTTCCATCCGGTTCCATTACATTTAAACCCACGTACATATGAACCCATGACAATTGCACCTGCATACTATTGCACCTATGGAATTTTTTTGTTTTTCGGATAGTTGAACCCATACTAACCCTAACCCATGGGGTTTAGCACCCGTATATATGTTCAACCCGCGGATATAAACATGGGTTCAAATGTACGTGGGTTCAAATGTACGGTCACCATTCCATCCACGTAATTTCATAATTTTTTTTTAATAAAACACACTTTATCCTTACTATTTGTTATTTGTAGCTTATTGTTAGCTACATATTTGTTTAGATGGGCCGCAGACTTGACAAATTCTGAGAGGGGGCAAATGAATTTTGCTGCTAACTATGAATTGATGCGGGCTTCAAGAAAACCTAATTCTTTGTGATATTATCGAATTCAAACTTCCAAAGTTGCCTTTTTGTCTTTGAACCTGAATTCAAAAGTACTACTTTGCATACCCAGTCCACCATAATCCAATTCACAGAATTTTGAATCAGTTACACTAAAAGAACCCCCAAAAAAATAACCATCTTACCTGGTCTATTGTAGCGTCTTTATAGTTGGTTTTGGCCTGCAAAGATATGAAAATATATAAACTGTATTTTCTGACTAATAAGCCTATTTTTGGCGTGACTTTCTGAGTCAGCTTATCGGGCAACTCGACTTATTTTTTTCTAGGGATTTGAACCATAAAATATCGGAAAAGGTAACATGTCTTTCCAGATGGTTTCAATAAAATCTAGAATATCAGTGATGTAATTATTATATTAAAAATGGCAGCATGTTTGTGCGCATCAAACGCAAAAGCGAATACTAACACCCTCATGTGTAGTAACTCATGAAAAAAGACGATTTAGATTTGGCACATATACTGTAAATACATCATAGAGAGAATGCATTGGCATGTAACTGAGGGAAAATACAACCGATGCAGTTACCCTACGGCGATGATGATTTCGGCGATCCTCTCGCACATAGGCTAATTATCCTCCACAAGACTCGAACCTGCGAACTTACAGACAATAACCGGAGATGCGATCCGAAAAGCACAAACTCACCTTCTTATTAACAATTTCTTCTTCATTAGCTGAACTTTCTGCTGCTCTTTTTTCAGTTTTTTGTTTCTGTTAAAATTTTCAATATTTTTAGTGAAGGATAGATTGGTTAAGTTTATTTAGTCTCCATAATAAAAAATGATAAAAAAAAAAAAAAATTGATTCCAAATCAGGAGAGCAAACAAAACCTCGAGTAAGGGTTAAAACGAACAGATTTTAAATTGAATGATGCTGTTAAAATAGGTGTTACCGGTACATGTAGTGGTGAGAATCAAATTTTTATGCCAGGCGGCTCCATCACAAAAGTCAAATTTTTTAGCCGGTTCTGTTACAAAATTTTATTTTTTTAGCAAATAAACTAATTATTTTCAATAATTTCCTAATTGACATAACTGGTATGTGCGAACTTGATCATTTCACATTTTGAGAAGAAACATGTGAGCTACTTGATCTCAAAAATTCTGTGAGACTTTCTATAGCAGGAGTCTGCAACTACTTCATGGCGTGACCCAAATTTTTTTTTTTCTAACTTTTTGCGATAGAAAGCCAGTGAACAATTTGGACTACCCAAGCACACTATTCAACTTTGCAAGTTGCTTCAGCTAGCTGTGACACTAGTCAATTCAGTGACATTAGTGATGTAACAAGATGTCGGAAAGATTTTCTGTTATTTTTAGGACGAAACGACACCAACTGCGATTTTTCGATTACCCTTCATCAAAGGGACGCGGGCCACAGATAATGAGAATGCGGGCCACATGTGGCCCGTAGGCCTGGGTTTGGCTACAGGGGTTGTGACTCCTCTACGGCCCATGGGCCGGGGCCACGGCCCATCCAATTGGGCCACATGGGCCGTGACCCATCAAGCTATGGGCCGCGGCCCCATCAGGAAAAATACAATTATCTTACCAAAATTTTCAATTTTTACAAAATTGCCAATATTTAATTCGAAAAAAAAATCGCGGTATGCCACCAAATTTTTTTCTCACGATAAGCATGTATATCAAAATAAAGCAAAATACAAAGCTACAGAAAAGGATACTCCTTTAGTATGTGTACCAGGTTAGGGTTAGGACAAAATTCTGTTCAGATTTTTCACATTATAGTTCTATTATGCGTTCGGGGACTGTCTGTGTTAGCACAACTTGATGGGCCGCGGTCCATAGCCTGATGAGCCGAGGCCCGATTCGATGGGCCGTGGCCCCGGCCCATGGGCCGTAGAGGAGTCACCACTTCCACTCGGGTTTGGACCACCCTGGCCCAGCCTATCAGATTTATTTTTAGACTAATTTTTGATTACTGCAATCAAGAAGACAAAATGACTATTGAGTTATTTGATTTAGACTTAGCCTATATTTACCAAAACACAACTAAAAACTAACAAATAGCACACGAAAATGAGGTAACATTCACAACCATGAAAATATGTCTGACACAAAAGTGTCTGAGATGCTGCTAAAACGTTTATTGTTACTTTAAATTTTGCACTTATGCTGAATGGCCAATGTTACGGCAGTAAATAAGGATGTTGAACATCCATAAATATAATTAGAGGTTTACAAAGTCGTAGTTGCTTATATTTATGGCTAATTTAATTGTTGTGCGACCCAGAGTGGAGGGTTTATGGGTCGCGATCCCATACGGTACGGTATTTGAGGACCCCTGTTCTATAGAACCGGCTGAATCACACCATTGGATACATGTTTACACACCTAAATAATAGGAAAAATGTGAGATACTTCCAAGGTGCCCGTAAATTACCCAACAACACAAAAATATATTGCAAATTGCCGGTACGGTAGGTCAGTAGGTACCGGTACCGGTTCACCTCAGTCTTCTGCAGTCATAGCAGTCTGCCAGTGGTGTAGCGGCACTGCACCATAATATCACCCAGTATAATTCTGTAATTAAAATAGTACAGCAAACATAGCTTACCTTGGCCATATTGCATAACCATGAACGAACAAAAATATGGTGACTTAATTGCGTTACTGTGATACTAGAAATTGCCCGAACGAATATTTGCAGGCTCAAAAATGCCGCTTATCAGGGCTCACGCACGTGTCGGTCTCTCTGTCGAAGGAGGGGCGTCAGATGGCCTGGTGATCTTCGTGTTGAGTGAATATAAAATGAAAAGATATTTTTAAATTTTATTTTAAACAAAGCGTGCTTCTCAGTCGCCCAACAATTTGTTGTATAAAATATTTGTTTATTTTTCGTTCAAATGATACTGGTCTGGCCAGCTACCTGGCTCGTAGTCAGGAAACCCCAACGCCTTCCTCTACTACCTGCTGATATAACTTTTAACCAAACTTAAGAATTCAAGTTGTCGCAAATATCATTGCTCGTGCTCGTATCAATGCCACAATCATCAAAGTGATTGAAACGCCTAGAATTTAATTATATTTATAGAATTTATATATCAGGTAAAATTCTGGACTAGAGCAGGGTTTCCTAAACTGGGGTCCGTAATCACTGTACATGGGGTCCGCAACGGTATGCGGAGTTTGATCAATCTTTAATGATTGATTTCAATAAAAAAAAAATCGTTGCGCAGCGTTTCGAACAAATACGCATTTCTTGCCTTTTGTAACGACCTATATATGTGTGTGGAAAGGAATTTACAGCTCTTACCAATATGACACGATAGTTGTCGGAGAGTTTGCTAGATACAAATTGCTCCGACAATTGATAAATTGTGCAATGAAAAGGAACTTCACCCATCACATTAATGTCGCTTGCGTTGTGTTGTAAATGAAACATTATCCTTACTCGTTGATCAGGCACAGAAATTGATACGGCATAGGATGGGGGTCCGTCAAAATTGAGATTCACAAATAGGGGTCCGCTGCCGAAAAAGTTTGGGAAACACTGGACTAGAGCATAGGTTCTCAAAGTGCTCCGTACGGAGCCCCAGGGCTCCGCGAGAGTAACCCAGGGGCTCCGCGAGCTATTCGATTACTTTTCAAAATACTGACTTGGCTAATTTAAAACTGTTCCTAGAAGCAATACTAGCTTTGATGAAATTTGACAAATATAGCCTCGAAATATGGCAAAGGGGCGGAATTAAAAAATGACATTATTTATAAGAAGGAGCGCAGCCAGGATTCTTAAGAGGGAGGAGGTTCAAAATTGAAATCGGAAATTTACGCGCAACATTCTTGACGATTCAAAAAAAAACGGATAACGAGATCTCTGTTGCGTAAAATATTCAATTCATGACCGATGCGAGCATCTAAAGGGTCTTGTCTTAATAATTTAATTGTGCTCATCGTTACTCACATTCGATTCGAAATTACTATTAGGATTACTAAAATGATAAAATACCAGTCTAAAATAACATAAACTGCGTGATAAACTGCTAACTATAAATAAAATGGAGTCGTATTTTTGCGATCTTGGGATTTGTTAAACTTTATTTGTTCTTTCGCACTCGAGATTATTTTTAAGCAAGATGTCGCCGTTTGAAAAATCACAAGGTCTTGGCAAAATACGAACGATAGAAATTTATTTTAGTGCATGCGGCTCTGTCGGTAGTTTCAGAAAGGAAAAATGGTACATCGCACGTATAATTAAATGACTGTGTTTCAATTTCGCAGTTACTACGATGAATAACCGAAAACCTAACATAACACCAAATTTTATGATTTTCGATGTCTATAACAGCGTTTTTATTCTGACGTGAGTCTGCTGAAACAAAACTTATAGTGTTATCTTCCATTTTAAGTTTTAGTTCTAATATTTTAGAAGGCCGCTTTTTAATCAAGAAATTTGAATTGCAGATTTACCTCTTTATTAACTATTATTTTTAGCATTTCGTCGCCTATGATTATAATATGGTAACATGTTTTTCACATTGAACTCATAATTCCCCACGAGAAAGAAAAAGCAATTATCGTCGTCATTGTGGAACAATACATGCATATGCCGAAGGAAATTTTTTATTTAGGGAGAATAAACACCGGCGTAAAGATGTTTGAGGTTCAAAAACACGCCATGCTGACGAAAACAATCGCCGATTGTAACAAAATGCAATCGCGCACGTTATTAGCAGCCTTTTAAGTCTTCCAAAAATGTCAAGAGGGGAAAAGATTCGACCCCTAATTTATTAATATGTTTGTCATGTGTCAAATTTATAGCTTTAGTATATACAATTTATCTTTGAAATTCAGATTTATTTATGACTTGTATTAACCCTATTAAAAGTGTTTAGTATTTAAATTGAGTAAAGTACGTTTAACTTACTCAGGAATATTAATCAGAAAGTAACAATTTTAACATTTATTTTGGGGCTCCGTGAATAATAGTCAACCTTTTCAAGGGCTCCGCAACGCCAAAAGTTTGAGAACCCCTGGACTAGAGAACAAGCTTCGGATCAACTGGAGAATCCCCCCCCCCCCCCCCTTCAGGGGGAAGAATACCCACCCCAAGTTAGATCAACTGTAGAATCTCCACCCCAACTAAGACCATCTAACCCTAACAAATAATTAGCCCAGGTCAAATAAAGGATCAACTGGTATTATCGGCTTAGGTTGGTTAGGGAAAGGGAATATTTTTTTTTTCAGTTGGGAAATGGGATCAACTGAAGAATCTCCACCCCAACTAAGATCAACTGAAGAATCCCCCCTCCAGGTGAGTCCGACTGAAGAATCTCCTCCCCAGGAGGGTCCAAGGGGGAGGGGGATATTCAGTTGATCCCAAGATTCCTATTGCAGGAAGTTGAATAATGTCTACTTGACCCGAACCTTAACACGAAATTTCAAGATACAATTGGTTATACTGACCAAACCTCCTTTTCCAACTGAAGAATCAGTCTCTATTGTTTGTAAAACTTATATCCGTAGTCAATAGGAATGTATACAAGCACGAAGAAGAATTATAGATTTATAAAAGAACAAAAATCAGGGAACGTATGTAAAGGGGCGATGTGCAATCGTTTTTGAATGCCCATTAGCTTGTTCACCAATAAATAAAATTGTGGAAAAAATCGTTTCTAAAGTATCCTAATCCTCATTATCCGGCATATTAATAATATTTCTATTTTATATTTTAGGGAAAACAAAATTTGTAGTCTTATTGCAAATTAATATTCTACTTTTTTTTACAATAATATGCATCGCTTACTGTTTTTGCATTGAATTACCAAGCCTTACATGAAACGTTATGTAACTATAGTTTCACGGAGCTGAAATTAAGAGGTTGCAGTTATTACTTTCCCTATTCACATAAACTTATCAAAAAATTTGTAAAATAACGATATTAATGCTGTAATACCACTTTGATTTTAAATACTAGCTATACAGTAATGGCAAAATGAAATAAAAAAAATTAGAACCACGAATGTTTTAAATTATTTTCGTATTAAATAGCCAAGTCTTAGCTGAAAAGTTGAAATCATGTTTTTAGAATCGAAAAGATATGCGCAAACGTGACACAAATACTTCAACGTAGGCATACTATACGTATGTACAAGGTCTATGGAAAATAGTTTTACAAAGACATGTGTTCCCTTGTACATCAATAAATAAAATTATGAAAAAACTCATTCAGGCATAAATATAAATAATATTTCTATTATATAAACAGACGTCTCCGCGCGAAAAGACAACTTTATTTTTTTCTTGTTTTCTGCGACAAAAATATTCATTCTGTTTTCGTATTGAATTGTCAAGCCTTAGATAAAACTTTACGTAACTAATATGTTCCACAGAGATGAAGTCATGTTTTGAAAGATCATTCGTATACTGCAGCCTATTGTGCATGGTAGAGCTTTGGTCTCAGAAGCGCTATTGAATATTTTATTTTTATCTTTCCCATTCTTTGTTGGGTTTCGGTGGAATATACGTCACTTCCTGCTCTATTCAAACTTTAGAAATCAATCTTCGCTGCTGGTGAAGCTCAATAGCCGATAGATTTACACACAAGCGTCACAAAGGGTGTTTTTCAGCAAAAGATTCAAGTCACGGACGGTTTTAACCGGATTTACTTCCGTGAAGGGAGACATATCCCCGATACAAGTGTTGGTTTAAATCAGTTGAAAGTAGATTCAGTTAAGAAAAGTGACCTCGGCTATTTTTTTGTTGTTAATTGGCCAAAGGCGATATTCAGATCCCCTGTGGATGAAAGTTATCTATTGAATTTATGTGAAGAATGCCATGGTAATGTAGCTTACGTACATTTTATTTAAATGAAGGAAAATGTTGTTAGTGAGATCGATACAAAAGAAAACCAGTTCCTAGAGTTTAACATCACTAGTTATGGCTCCTATTTTGCTAAGAAAAATTGGAGCCTATTTCGTTGTAGAATGCAACTACTTTTATATTGTTCAGTATAGAAATACCTTATTGACAGACTTGTAAGATTTCTCATTAGCATACAGAGAAATAAATATTTGAATGTTTGGAAGTTTGCTTTTTTAGAAGTTTTCTTTATATAAATTTAATATTTTTGTTAGAAAATTATTCATTGACTCATAAAAATTAGGTTTCTATTTCCAGAAGTGGTTGTAAATAAAAATAACTACAAAAAAGATTTGTTGTAATTCATTGCTGCGTAAATAGTTAAATGGAATTATGAAACGTGAATCGGTCAACGCAGTAATGGATGAAAGTTGAAACTGTTTGCTATTGATATATTATAGCCAGAATCTCGAATTCGAATTCCAGCATGACTAGAAATCACAAATATAAGGCGTACCCTTAACCAAGTTGCATGGAAAGATTAAGGTTCATTAAAAAATGGCTGGACGTTTAAAAACTGTTTGTCCAAAGCTTCATTCAGAAAGAAGTTGTGAAAAATGCTCCATAACATTTATACCAGAAACAATGAATGTATGTTAAATTAGGTACTATGAATGTAAGTGATCTGGCACAGTTCACTATTAGGATGTCCGCCTACGGTTCAACCTTACACGAGAAACGAGGTTTGAAGCGCACTTTTTTATACCCAATATCCGTTATTATTGTAGTTAAACCCGGTTTTATGGCAAAACGTAAAGTTCTACTACTTGCTTTCTTCCAAATTACTCCCAGGCGTCAAAAATTTGTGTACGGATAGTAATTTTAAACTAGTAAATGCAGCAGAGTTGAATGTGCGTTGTCCTAATTGAAGGGTGCTCCCGAAGTATGTGTAGAAAGATGGCGCACAACCTGAACATAGTATTGTACCAGGTTATGGTTCAGGTTGTGCGTCATCTTGGCACACATACATCCGGAGCGGCAATGTCTGAAACATATACAGGTAGATC